CCCCTCCCGAGCCCGGGGGAGGAGCCCCGCCCTGCCCCGCCTCCATCCCCACCCGGCCGGCGCAATGACACAGCACAAAGCGCTGCCCACACGTGGCTCCCGCGAAGCCCGGGCACCCGAGTCCGCGCGGCCCGCGCCACGCCCTCTGGAGCTCGGCCGGGCGCTCGCCACCGGGTGCCGCCTCCTCCATCCCAGCCCTCGGGGGTTTCACGGTCACTTCGCTCCGCAGATGCCTAGGCAGAGGCGGGCGGCCTAACCGCGCCCCAGCCGGGCCGCATCTGGGCCCGCAGGACGCCGCTTCATCCCTGCGAAATCAGCCGGGGCCCGCGGGCGCCTCCCCCCGGCGCCCCCGCGGGAGGGGGCCAGAGGCAGGGAGACGCCACTCACTTTGTTCAGCATCTGAAAAGCAAACGCAAAGAAAGGCAGCAATCAAACCAGTCGGCGATACACCTGCCAGCCGAGGGCGGCCCCGCGGCTCTGCGCTCCCCAGTGCACCTGGCGCTCACCTCGGGGTTAATCTCCATCGGTTTGAGCTGCATCTTCGCGACTTGCGGGAGGAAGCACAAACCAGAGACGGGGAAAAACAGCGAGCGGAGCCGCCCAGGCTGCCTCTATAAAGCGCCGGCCTGACGCACTGTGGGTACTTGCGCAGGGGGAGCAGGGGCAAAACCAAGCGAGGGGGAAACCGTCGGCCGCGGCCAAGTGGGCACGAATCCCCCCCCATACACAGTGCAGAGTGGTACGGCCGGGCCCCCAAACCTTGCAGTCTCACTTGAGGGTGAGAAAATCTGTGGTTGTGGCGATGGGTTTTGTTGGTGGGTGCTCCTTGAGTGTACGTAGCAATCCTTTTGAGGGAATCTAATTTTTTTTGCGAAGTTTCTGGAAACCCACCGTTTCGACCATGCCATTTACCCAAAACCTCAGGGTTTGTGAAGCATTGAGAAAAAGCCCAAATTCAACAGGTATATAACATGAATATAAATGTCTCCCAAATCTCGCAGCAATTTTACATGACCTTAAGACAATTCATCCTCCATGTTAAATTAAATCAGGAACGTGGTTCTATTTTAATTGATAGCCTAGAATACAAAAGATACGCATTATTAGTAATGCCATATGCAATGTGACACCCGGGGAAGAATTGGTTGGTCATGGATAAGCGGTAGAAACCTGGGGATGTGGCCATAATACAGCACTCACAGAAAGTAGGCAGCCAGGGACTTTAGAAAGCAATTCCAGCGAAAGACAGAGGATTTTGAGATGAGAGGCTGTAAAAAGAAAAACAGTCAAAAAAAGAAAAAAGAAGAAGAAAAAAAAAGAAGAGGAAAGGGAGCTTTGAAAAATAAAATTCTGAGCTCACAATAGAATCACCTAGTGAAGGAGAAAAGGAACCACAACTATGATGGGGGGGAGGGGTTTTGGTTTTGTTTGTTTGTTTGTTTTTCTACTAGCAAATTCGAGAAATGGAGAGAAAAGCATTTGTCAGAGAATAAAGAAGGACAAAAATGTATGAGAACAGTGCCAGGAAACCTTAGAATGAAGTGGGACTTGGCCAAATGCCAAGGAATAAGGAAGGTCACGTAATTTTTAAAATCTGCTCAGAACAAAATGATGATGATGGTGAAAGAATAGATTTACTGATTAGGAGTCCAGGTTGACAGATAATGAAGAAGGGGCAGAGTCCACATTTTGTGACATTACTTCTACCATGGGTCACATCTTTAGCATGTCATCTCATTTAATCCTAAGAGGCCCCAGTGAAGTAACTTATTAATGCAGGTCTATGAATCACAATCCAGGGCTCAGAGAGGTTAACTGCTTATAATCATAAATAAAAAGGAAAAGAGAGGAGTAACCCTTGGTAAATTGGGTGTCCAGTCTCTACCAAGATTCCACTATATTTCATTTCTATTTTCTTCCTATTTTTACCACTAGAAAGATGACCTTGACAGGAGAAAGAACGTTAGTAAAAAGAGCTTGATGGATGAATCATTTGGTATGTAAATTATTCCTCAAAATTGTTTTTTGTTTTTCAAAAAAAGACTTGAATGTCAGGACAAGTGAATAGGTAGTATAAAACACCTGGCTGCACTGAATATGTTCTTACCTTCAGGCAGAGACAAATTACAAATCCCAGTTTACTTCATTGATTCAACAAATAACTCATTACATGCCTACTGTGGATGGGCACTGAGCTTTGAATCAGGTGTCACAAAGTAGTAACACTGCAAATAATCATGGGGATTCCTCCATGATTTACTCAATAATAAGAGCTGTGTGAAAGGGAATTTAGAGCAGGGTGCCTTACCTACTGCAGAGATCAGGACAGCTTCCTGAAGGAAGTGCCATATAAGCGTTAATTGACAGAAGTTAGCAGGTGACAGTTATTACCAATAAACAGTAAAAGCGGTATGGAAACACAATGAGAAATCTTTGCTAAAGACAGTCATTCATTTACTCTACAATATTTTATATTGAGAGGCTGCTATGTGCAAGAATCATTAGAGCTATGAATAAAGCAACTTCCTGTTTACAAGGAAATGCAAGAGATTGGACATCCTTATTAACCTTTTTTAAAAAAAAGGAGGGCCCTCCCTGGTGGTGCAGCAGGTTAAAGCACAGCACTAAGAAGCTAAAGCCACTTCAACATAAGTTCGATCCCCACCCCAGACATGATCCACTTGGTATGATAGACCTCTCCTTGCCCACCTGCTACTCCCCTCAGCAGTGTACTTTGTCAGTCAACCTGTTCTGCTCCCCACTCTGTCTCTGGTGAATCCTCTCACCCAAGCACACCACACCTCTGGTCTACATACCAGATCTTGTAGGTATAAATAAATAAATCTTTTTTAAAAGGAACATGAAACTTTGAGGCAGGAGATTTGACATTAGTCACTAATCAGATTCCAGGATTCATAATTTGTGAGCTCTTAGAAAAATAGACTTGTTGAGTTTAGAACAAGTTATGCCTTCAGTGCTTACCTGACTGGGGTTTACTAGCTGGGTGGGCAGGTAGAATGCTTTTCATGGTATTCCTCATGCTGCTTGCATTGGTATTGATTAATATAATTGAACTGGTTTCATAGCGTATTTTAGTTATTCTGTCTAAGAAGTTGTCTCAACCTGAAGCCATCAAACAATGGTTTTGCTCTGTCCTGTCCTGTCCTAGAGCAGAGACAGAGAGATTAAATGCTTGCAAGTGAGAAGCAATGTAAATGGCAGGCCTATGGGATTGAGAGAAGTGAGTTTAGAATGAAATTGTGAAAATTTAATAGAGATTTTGATAATTGTTGTCTGTTCTTGTCAATATACAAAAAAAAATTTAATGGATGAATGTAGTGCAATAGAGCTATAAAATTCTATAATGCTAGGGGGTTCTTATCCCAAAGTATAGCAGTTCCACTGTGTAATTTGATAGGTTCCTTTTTGTGTCTAGAAACATTAGCATTCATTTACATGGAATCATTTTTAAGTGTCTCGAGACCCCCAAAATAGAAGATAAGAAAGTAAAAAATAAATTAAAAATCACTCAGACATGTGTGGTAAACATGGGAAAGACCTGACTTTGTGAATGATACATGAATAATTTGAATTGTAGTTCATAATTTGAACATAAAACTAATGCAATCTTCTACCAGGAGTGAGAAATTCTATTTAACATTATTTGTAGTGACTTCTTGGTGTAATGCCTAAGAAGATTCCTGGAAAATGCTATAGAGAAAAACATGCTGTAGTTTATTGGTGATGTCAACCATATATATGACTGGGAAAGAGAAATGACAACAATAGGCAGATAGTCACTATCTTTTGACTGCATTAATGCATTATTCATCATATCATCAGGAAAAATAATTCCACCCACTGCATTGACTGTAATATGTGCATTATGATGCCACAGCTTGGCATGTAATAAGCTCTCAATAAAAACCATTCAGCTGAAAATTCTGAAGACCACACTTGAAAGAAACAGATATATTGGAAAGTTCAGAGGGGGAGAACCAAATTAAAGCATTGAAAATTTTGAGAGGCTATGACTTTTTTTTTTTATGGAGGAAGAGGGATAGCAATTTCATTATAGCTATGCTCAAAAATTCAGTGTGAGAGTGATCTATGATTGCTTAAGAATGTAGAACAGACAGGTAGAAATCAGAGGTAAGTATTATTTTACATAAGGAAGTCCTTCATTATTGGAGGAATACATTTGTGTGCATGTTCCATAAGTATCAGTGAATGTGCTCAAAGCAAGTACTCGTAGCTAACAGTATGTCAGCCACTGATTTTGTGTGATTCCTACTGATGTATTTGCATGTATTAACTTTTTTTTTAAGATTTTATTTATTTATGCATACAGATCTGGGGTACAGGCCAGACGTACAGGGGCGGTGAGAGGCTTCACCAGAGACGGAGCTGGGAACAGAACAGGCGATTGACCAAGTACACTGCTAAGCGGAGCAGTGGGTGAGAAGGGAGAGGTCTGCTGCACCATAAGGGTAACCTTGGGGTGGAGGATAGAACTCACACTAGAGGCTGAGGCTATCTTGCAGTGCGGAGCTTTAACCCAATGTACCACCAGGGCGGGCCTACATCTCCATACTTTTTTTTAAAAAAGATTTATTTATTTATGCATATAGAACTGGGGTACAGGCCAGAGATACGGAGGGTGAGAGGATTCACCAGAGACAGAGTGGGGAGCAGAAAAGGCAGATTGACAAAGTACACTGCTGAGGGGAGCAGCGGGCGGGTCAGGAGAGGTCTGCCTCACCATGTCAATCTCCTCCCAGGCAGTCCAGTCGGAATCAAACTCATGCTTTAGATTCTCAGTGCTGTGCTTTAAACTGCTGCGCCACCAGGGAGGGCCCACATCTCCATACTTTTAAGGAACATTTCATTCCAGTCTTACATCAACTATCCCTGATAAGATAAAAGAAGACATTCTGAACAACCTAAGTGTAATGCAACAAAGGACCTCCAAAATTTACCCCTCTATAAAATCAATAAAAACTTGCCTGCTGTCACAATTAACTTTTCAGATTGCATATATTTACCAGATTATGCAGCAATGCAGGAAACATTTTTTCATGAATAAATGTTCATGAATGAACACGGGTGATTATCATTTATGATGGTAGGTTTGGGGATATTTTAGCTAATTCTCATTCCATCCCTACCTCTCACTCCATGGTGGTCTTGAAAAAATTATAATCTTCATTCCCAGTCATGGAAGAACAAATAGGAGTAAACAGCTCTTTCAAAGCTTCATTCCTAATGAATTGTCATTATTTGACCTGGCTATTGATTTATTTGAAGTTCTCACTTGAGAATTTTGTCTTTATTTGAGCCAAGAGATTACCCAGTGCTCACAACCACATAACAAAGAATAGAGACTACAGTGTTGCTTCAGAAATGTCACTACACAACAATAACAACTGCATGTATTTATGACAAATAATAACTACTCAAGAAACAGCAACAATAATCTCTAGTGGGAGGACAGTAATCTATCTCATCTCCAGGACAGACAAGTTTCAGGCAGCATACTTTTGAAGTCTAGAATTTCTCCTTGCTTCATTTGAATAACATCTATCTTCTCATTAATATTCTCTAGT